CTGGAAATGGCTCAGATTTGGCAGGAGGAAAGTTGAAACATTTCTGTCGTTTTCGTTTCCACAGACAGCTATCATCATCAGATTCAGAAAAGCTTTCATCACTTGAATCTACACTCTTGGTTGTCCTATAAGGAACGTCTGGTGCACCTGATGAAAGGCTGCTCTGGAAAGGTCTGCCTGCATTACTGCCATCGTGTGATTTCTGAAATAAAGTAGCAAATGTACATTAACTCAATTACTCACACAAAGAAAGAGAGCCATCAAGTCATGCAAAAAATTTCATTAGCTTGAATTTCTTAATCTCAACTAGTGGCATTTTGAGCAGTACTCTGTAAGCATCTCGAAGAGACTAAAAAGGCTACTACAATTACCAGCCCAGACAATGACAAATGCGCACAGTAGTTTTAAGAAAGAAAACTATTACAGCACTTTGGTGAAAGTTCTCATAACAGTAGAGAAATTAAAAGTCTTCTCTGGAGTCTAATCTGTCAGATAGAGAGTGGGTACCCAGTGATGCACAACGACAGCAGTCTTCCCTGAAATTCATGTGAAAGGAAAAAAAAAAAAAGGAACAAAAACTAAAGACAGATGCTACTCGAGACTTTGAAAAGCTAATAGTATCTGGTGATTTTGATTCACTAAGAGCAAGGCATCTAATGGTAATGCCTCACATTAGAATCAGATTTCCTCTCTGCTTTAAAACAAAGTGCTACTGACTCACTGTGGCCAACAGGGCAAAAACAAAACCCTAAAGGTTTTAAAACGCTTTACAAACAAGTCTTACTGCTCCAAACAACATTCAAGATCTGGCACTTCTCCATCATTCTGATTCGCACACTAAAGAAAAAGCCAAGCCTGCTCAAATCTGCATCACCTGCAGACATCACAGGTTACATAGGCCAGAATTCTGATATTACCATTTCAGGGAACTTATGGCCATGCTGTCTACGCCATTCTACAGTAACTCTTTTTTTTTTTTTTTTTTTTTAACGGTTAACTTCATTTTTCCCTGGTTGATTTCTTGTTGTATGCTACCCCAAGATCTTTAAGATCAGACTTTCTTCAACCAGCGGTTAAAAACCGTTTTTAAGTATCTCACCACAGGTATGGCACCGTTTCTTCCCTTCCTTTTAGGGAAGTGAGAGCAGATGAAGTTCAAACATTATAATACATCTTAACATGGAAGCTCTTAGACCTCGGGAATAAACAGAACCATAAACAGCAGTTTACGGGTGAGAGCAGTACATTCACAGCACAGCGGTGGTCGTTACCCATCGCTCCCACGTGCGGACGAACGCTTCATCCTCACTGTTCGCGTAAGGCCTGAACCTGGACACCCAGTGTTCTCCTTCCTCACCACATCCGGCTCCTCAGAGCCATGGGAACCAGCCCGCTCCACCGGGGCCCACGGCACGGCCAGAAGGGCCACGCAGCGGGAAGGGCTTACCCGGCCAGGCCGCACGGCCAGGCCCAACCCGCACAGCCGCGGGCCCAGCGCCGCTCTCCGCCGCCAGCAGGCCCCCGGCCGCCCGTTGTGGCCGGGCCTGCAGGGCGCCTCCGGCAGCGGGGAGGGGGAGGCCGGGCCCTACCCGGAGCCCGCCTCGCCACAGCCTCCCATCGCTCACCTGCTGCCGCTCCCCAGGGGAGCCGGCGGCGGGCATGTCGGAGTCCGAGTCGGAGAGCTCGCCGTCCTCCACATCGCCCTCCATGCGCCGCACCTCCAGTGCCATCGCGGCGCAGCGATCCCCCTACGGCTACGGCGGCGGCGGCGGCGGAGGCGGGGCGAGGCGGGGACGCGTCGGGAGCGTCGGCGGGCAGCGCGGGGCGGGGCGGAGCGAGGGCGCGCTGTGCGCCGCGGCCATCTTGTGCTGTGCACTGCCCCCTAGTGGAGCTGCGCACGTTCATCGGCGCCGCGGTGGAGGCGGGGGATGTTGTGGGTGCACAAGGGCGGCGGATGAACAAACATGCGCAGATCGTGTAGTCCGACTCATACCGTCAGTCGGTCGACCAGGAAGCCCTCTATTACTCAAGCTGCTCAAGTGTTAGAAAACATACTTTATTCTTGGCGCTGGATGCATGAGGGGATCATAGAATCATAGAATAGCCTCGGTTGAAAAGGACAATGATGATCATCTAGTTTCAGCACCCCTGCTGTGTGCAGGGTGCTTCTGCCTGATCGCGCACATCTGGTACAAAGCACCTCTGCTATATGTGTGTTACGTATGCAAACATTTTCCCAGGCAGAAGATACCAGTAGTTCCCCCAAAATCATTCTCGTAGGGTTCCACCTCCTTGTGCGTGCTCAGTCTTTTTGTGGCAGTGGTCCTGAGACCCTCTGGATGAAGTTAGTAGCCTTTCTTGCTGGCTGGCTGAACCCAGTCTTCATGCATGCTCAGTTAGCTCCTTGCCTTGGTCACACAAGCTGCTTTCACAGTATCAGCGGATCCAAGCAGAATTTCCATGTCTGCCATTTTGTATAAGGAGGTCAGTACATCATTACGTGGTACAAGGGCACAGATTTTTCCTCTTTTCTAAACCAACTCCAGGGCTATCCATCAATGAGCATTAGCAAACTTAATGGTATTTCACCATCTTGTATGACAGCCATCAGCCCACCACCACCATGCTCACTAAACCACATCTCTCAGTGTCCTGCAAGATGACCCAGGGCCATTACTGGCCAGAGTTACTGTGTGACGACGTGGGTTACTTCAGGTGAGTCTAAAAAGCCGCCGTGGGTTCAGTACAAAGATAAAAAAATCAGTCTCCAACAGTCTATCTCTGGTTCTTTGATGTGGGTCAATGGATATAAAATAATACTTTATTTAATAGGTTGACTATCAGAAATTGAGTTCTTTTTGTCTCTATCACAACAGTCTAATCCATGTCAAATCAGGCAGGCAGACTAAATTCAGTGACTCTGGTTATTTTAGCTGTGATTAATGCCAGGTGGATCAATTTAGCTTATACCTTTCTTCAGTAATTAATATATTTCCTTCAATAATTAACATATACATAGTCCTGCAGCTGTGTTTACAACTGCAATATGCAGACTACTATGTTGCAGGGTAACATTTGGGAATACAGTTAGGCACTGAGACTCCTAATGCAGTGGAGAACTAAGCAAAAATCTTTGTTAACACCTGAAGCATGGAGCCACCCAGATCTAGTTAATGATAACAACTAAACCAAGAGAATTGATTTTACGGCTACATGACATCACACGCTAGCATTAGGTCTATCACTGTTTCAACAATATAGAAAATGATGGAGTTATAGAATTACAGAATATCCTGAGTTGGAAGGGACTCTTGGTGGGTATGGTGGTGATGAATTGGTGACTGGACTGGTCTTTTAAAACCTTAATTATTCTAACGATTCTAAAAGATAATGGAATCCAACTCCACACAGTGCTGCAGGTGAGGCCACAAAGCACAGACCACAAGGGGCATACCCTCAACTCACCTGCTGACAGTGCAGGACCTGCTGCAAACTAGGGTACAGTTGGCCATTGGGGCTCCAGGGCACACTGCTGGCTCATGTTCTGCTTACCATCAGCCAGACAAACATTCCTTTCTGTGGGGCTGCCCTACACTGTTGCATTCCCGATTCTGTATGTACAGCCAGGGTTGCAGATGCCAAGGTACTTGTCCAGCACTGACACAATAAATTATTTAGCAGATAAACGATTTTCTATATATAATTTCCTATTTACTATTTTGGATGGAGTAGAAGAAGACACTAGTTGTTAGGGCTTGGAAAAAATATTAGGGTTGAAGAGCGGATGCCGTTTGCTTTTTTTGCTCAGTTCACTCTCAGACTTCTACTGGTGTGAGTGTGAGTGTAGGATCAGGCTGGTGGGACAGAGGACATCACTGGAAACCATGATGGCAGCAGTTGTTTCCTCCGTGCAGCAGGATGCATGAATTCTGCTTGCTGGTGGCTGCATCGGCGCAGCAGGCAGATCGACAAATTGGCAGGAATGTTAATTGCTGAGAAATATAGCTGTGAGAGTAAGATATGGAAGTAGTTTTTCTTACCCATTGGCACAGATACTTATCCATCTCAGTTCCAACAGCTCAGCCTCTTACCTTTCCTGTGCTTCAGGGCCCTTCAGGGATTTACAGAAGGCGACCTCTTATACAGCTGTGGCAGAGGACCACATGCATGCAGATACATCTGATAGAATTGATTTTTAAACCATATTTGCTTTCCCCATTTAGATATCAAACGTCTGGCTGAAGGGCTAACACAAGTGAGTTAAATTTTGTCAAATCTCACAGCATCTGATCAACATAATAAAACAACAGCAGAAGTTTATCTTTCCGGCTAAGCTGCTTTGCATGGCAGCTGGCATTTCAAGAAAGGATCCAGGAACGCAAAATCAAAACCTCAGAGAATGTGAACTTGAGAATCTTTTGCTTATTGGCATGAAGAAGCAATCAGTATGGGAAGGTTGAAACGGCGGAGGAGAGTGGTGGATCATACCCTAGTCTGCCTTCATCTAGGAGCAGAAGGAAAGGATGACCTGCAGTTAAATGCCTACAGCTAGCTAAGCAGCCCTCAGATGAATCCTGTCTGGGCCATCTTGTCTTCTCTGACGTCAGTTTATTTACACCTGCAAGTCACAGTGACTTTTGTTTTCACGCAGAATTATGTCTGAGTGTAGAGAGGATTAAATTAGGAAGAGTAAATAAATAAAACTGGCACCCCCAGATCGGTGCTTTCTCTTGCTAGAAAAAAATCATGACTGTAGATTGTTCGAAATAAACTTGCCAGTCTGCCAGAATATTAGGTTCCAAGATGAAAATGTAAACATGCTTTTCCTGATATCCAACCCGAACCTCCTGTGGTTTTGTGGAAACTTGCAGCCGTTACTCCTCGTCCTGTCACCAGCAAGAAGAGCCCAACCCTGCTTTTGCTGCAATCACCTCTCAGGTATTTGAAGAGAGCAGTAAGGGTGCCGAGAGCACTGGATCACGTGTGGCACAGTGTTGGGGGTACGGGCGTGCGCGTGAAGGGCAAGTCGTCCCAAAAGATGGACACTGGGAATAAGGTGTGCTTCTATATTTTTATCATTTATTGGAAAAGCGGGTAAACCCCGCTAGAGGGACCGGGGAGGCCGCCTCTTGCAGGGCGGATGAGCGCGCTGGGCGCTGCCGGCCCTCCTCTTCGTGGGGCGCCGGGGCCCTCCAGCCGAGCGCTTTCTGCCCCGGCCGCGAGCGGAGGGGCCGCGGCTGCGGCGCTGCTCGGAGGGACCGGCTGCCTCGGGATCCGGCTCGTCGGCAGGACCCGTGCCGAGGGCCCCGCTGGATGTGCCGGGGAGCTCCTCCGCGTCGGGACCCGAGGAGCAGCTGGCTGGTGTGGCGTCGGGGGTGATGGCCCCATGCAGGTAGGCGGCGGGACCGGATGGTGCCGCGGGGCCGTCTTCGCGCTCCTGGGCAGCGCTGGGGTCCTCGGGCCCTTCCTGCTGCTCTTGGTCGGCGCTGGGGTCTTCGAGACCCAGCAGCCTCCGGGCCCGCTGGCCGCACCGGCTCTCGATGCTTGTGACGAGAGCGTCGATGAGCGGTGCGGTGATGGGCCCCAGGGCGTGCTCTGTGCACTGCACCAGGATGTCCCTGTCCGGCCCCACCTGGCACAAGAATGCCAGGATCATGCTTTTCAGCCACTTGATCTTCCACCAGCGCAGCTCCCCGTGGTGGTGTAACTCCTGCTCCAGCCAGGGCAGCACCGGGTCGAGGATGTCTGCTTGGGCCCTGAAAAGTGCTGCCCAGACCTCTGGCAGGAGGCCGCCCACTCTCTCCTGCTCCACAGCCATGGGCTCAGGGGACGGTGGTGCAGACAGTGGAGCAGATGCCGCAGTGCCGCTGATGCCGGTGGTGGTGCCGAAGCCGACGGGCACTGGCACTGCAGGCGGGGAGACAATGCATTCCACGTACTCATTGTCTCCACGCACGGAGACCCGGATGGTGTTCATGGCCGTCCTGCACAGTGGGCAGCTGTCCTTCAGCCTCGCCCACCGCTGGATGCAGCCGAGGCAGAACATGTGATTGCATGGAGTGGCGTAGGCGACGTCCTGTCGCACATCGCGGCAGATGGAGCACGTCCATGCCTCTTCTGTGGCCATGGCTTTCTCGCTGCAGTAGGCTGGGAGAACTGAGGATGACAAGTTGTTCTCCTTCGCCGGAGCTGCAGCGGTAGTGTTGCACTCTGCGAGAGGAAGAGAGGTCACAGTCACTCACTGTGCCAGGCTGTGAAAGCCATCGGCAGACCCTCAGCAGGAAACCCTCCCTGCTGGCACAGGGCCAGGCTCCCCGCAGCTGCCCTGAAGGAGCCTCCTTCCCAGCACCACTCACCTCCGCTGCTGCGGGTGCACTCTGCAGGGCCCTGGCTGCCTGCACTAGGCAGGGCCAGGGAAACAGAAGCGATGCTGTGGGGTCAGGCACTGAGATGCTGCGAGCAGCCCCAGGTGTGACCCAGCACAGCACAACCAAAACCTTGCTCGACCTCCAAGCCTCGCACAGTTGCTCAGCACGGTCCAGGAACGAGCCAGACTGAGCCGGGCGCGGCCGGCACCCCACTATGAGCAGTGAGGGCTAAGCAGTCACAATCCATCGCCCGATAATGTCACAGCCCGTTGCTTGGGGACGTCACCATGGGCCGTCTGCCCCCACTGCCCCCACCCATGTTTGAGATTTTGCCCCTTTTCCCTGTTTCTCATTTCCTGTATCTTGCCCTTCATTCCTGTCCACCATTTATGCCTCACATTTGACGTTAATGTGCAGGTCTTTCTTTTGCTCTGATTAAACCAGCTCTAACTGTTCATTTGTTTCCTCTGTTTCTTCAGTATTAGCCTGTAGATTTTTCACTACTGTGTTGCGTAGAAATTGGGTTTGGCCTTCTCCTCGTCTTGCTTCAGGATTGCCTTTTCAAACTTTCCCTCATTACTCTTCTGTCAGCATTCTCCTTTCTAGGTGCTTTCCTGGAATATCTTCCATTATCAGCTTCTGAATGAGTGCTGCATCCCACGTGTGGGGAGTGGGTGCAGGTAAGATTCATGAACTCCTTTGGGACGGCTCAAGGTGAAATAATGCCCACGGTCCAAATATATGTGTCTAGTGTAGTGTGAAATTTACACAGAACAGCTGTCCTGTTTTTGTTGGCCCTCACAATTATTTCTACTTAAGATTTGCAGTTTTATGGGAAATCAAGGTCAGCTTGAGTTACTTCACAACTTTTGGGAAACCTTGTCTTAGCAACATTAGGAGGAAAGAGTTTAGGGGGGAATGGTAGGTTGGGGGCGTGGAGAGAGATCACCAGTCCTCGATCCAATATCTGATCTGCCAGTGGGGGTGTCAGGTGTGGGGGGAAAGGACCTCCCCCTTGACTGGTACATGTCCTGTGCCTGGACTTCCTGAGCCTTCTCTTGTCCCAGTTCCAGGACTGGTTGAGACACCATCAAATTGAGAGAAGTGACATCAGGCACTCTTCCTGTGGCAAAGACCTTAAAGGATCATCTTTAAGGAAAAGACTGTAGAGATCATCAAGTCCAATTGCAACCTAACCATACTACCCTAACTAACAACCCTCTGCTAAATCATGTCCCTGAGCACCACATCCAAACAGTTTTTAATCATATCCAGGGATGGTGACTCAACTACCTCCCTGGGGAGCCTATTCCAATGCTTAACAACCCTTTCTGTAAAGAAGTTTTCCCTGATATCCATCCTAAACCTCTCCTGGCTCAGCTTGAGGCCATTTCCCCTCGTTCTGTCACCTGTCACCAGTGAGAAGAGACCAGCCCCGCTCTCACTGTAAGGACCTTTCAGATACTGGAAGAGAGCAATAAGATCTCCCCTCAGCCTCTTCTTCCCCAGACTAAACAACCCTAGATCCTTCCGTCTCTCCTCATAGGCCATATTCTCGAAGCCCTTCACAAGCCTCGTTGCCCTTTTTTGGACCTGTTCCAGCGCCTCAATGTATTGCTCAACACTTTCTGTATTGAGGTGCCCAAAATTGAACACGGTGCTCGAGCAGGGGCCTCACCAGTGCTGAGTACAAGGCAGGATGACTTCCCTAGTCCTGCTCACCACACTATTCCTGATAATTCCTGATACAAGCCAGGATGCCATTGGCCTTCTTGGCCACCTGGGCACACTGCTGGCTCATATTCAGCTGACTGTCAGTCATTACTGTCCATCAGTTCTGGACTTGCTTTTCATTTTTTAATGGAAAAAATTGAGTCAAGTCCTATCACTTTTGTTGTGTGGATGAAGGAAACCATGAGTGATTAAAGTATCTTTAGATAACAAGATAAATATGTAAATATTTCAACAAGCCTGATTCTTAAAAAAAAATGAGGAATACAAAGACGAAGTGTGCAACAAAGTTATCAGTGTATGTCAAGTCTTTCTTCAAGCTAATAAAAACAAAACTGTGAAAATGCAAATGCTTTGGTCAACTTACAGTTTGCACAAGTCTATTGTCTTCAGTGATGGCTAATTGTCATGGTTTTGTGATTTTTGGCTTTCGGTATTCTACATCATAACATCATGTGGGGCACTGGGACTTTAACTGTCAGTGCTCAAGTCCTGGGTACCTGCCCTGAAGAGAAGAAGAACTACATTCCCCAGGGGACCTTGCGCTCAGGGAGAGGAGGTTTAACTCCTGGCAAGGTCGCCTGATTGCTTTTTCTCGCCCGCCCTTCGTCGCGGGCGCTGCTCCCGTCTCCCTGCTGCTCAGCTGGACTGCGCATCTCACCTCAGCGTTGTGGTGAGGCCTATCCACCTTTTGGACATTCTCTCTCTCATTATATTTGATTTATTAGCTTCAATTCTGATTATATTGTATTATAGTGTGTTATCTTGCATTCCGATAATATACTTAGTAAATTAGTTTGTTTCTCCTCAGATCGGTGCCGCTGTTTTAATTATTTTGGGGTCTCCTGTTTCCTTTTTTTTCCGGAGGCGCGGATCTGCGGATTCCTCCGCCCCGCTCGTCACGGAAACGGGCCGAACCAGACCGTAAACTGTTGACACTAATGGCTGAAAACAGATCCCTGTGTTCTGTTTCAGATTCATCAATGATTTATCTTGCCCATTGCATACATAGATGAACCTTAGCAGCTTGCCATGCTTTGATTTGTTCTGTTACTGGTTTTAGGACCACAAGCTGCAAGGTTGTTCACAAGATAACTGTCAGGACAGAGCTATCACACAGTCAAGACAACAGTGGAACAAAAACTTCTGATGAGTGCACATTTTTCTTCCTTTTTAATATGCTGAAAAGGACTCTGCTTAAACTGAGGAACATAACTACTACTCATCTTGTTGAATTTCTTCTCTATCTGACTGCTGTCGATAAACAAAATGTATGCTGTAAGTTTTTAGGAGATTATTTCAAAATAAATATTTAAAAAAAAACTACTACTTATTTCAAAAGAATTATCGTCTCTTAAAAATATGGTGGTTAAAAAATGACCAAACCATAACTGAAACTGCTCCCAAGACTTCAGTGAAATCTCAAGAAGGATAAATAAATAAATTCTTTGAAAGAATATGTGACAAAACCTTATTTGCAGTCTGGAAGTGTGGATCTGAATGGTGTGTCTGCAGGACAACCAGCTCAGCCTTACTGCTCCTATAACAAAATCACAGAATCACAGAATGGTTGAGTTTGGAAGGAACCACTTGAGATCATCTAGTCCAAACTCCGTGCTTGAAGCAGTCAGCTAAAGCACACTGTGCATTTTGAATATCTCCAGAGCAGGAGAATTCACAACCTTTCTGGACCTTTCTATTCCGTTTCAGTGCTTTGTCACCCATGCAATGAAGAAGTTTTTGCTTATGTGCAATGTTTTTTACATGCCATGTAAGTTTCTTCTTCCTGTGTTTCAGTTTGAGCCCACTGCCTCTTGTCCTTTTACCAGGCACCACTGAAAACAGCCTGATTCCATCTTGTTGACACCCTCCTTTGAGATACTTATACGCACTGATTAGATTCTTCCTCAGTCTTCTCCAGGCTGACCTTCCCCAAGTCCCTCAGTCTTTTCTTATA